CTTCTTTAACTTCAGGTGTTGGGTATTTTATTTCAGCAACAAGAAAAATAACTAACACACACAAAATAACCTCAATAATTTCTAGAATTAAATACTATAGACCATGACTAAGGTAAGCTCTTCTTCTGAATTTTGTTACAGCCAGTAAATTTTTACTAGTTCAATAACATCATGTTGGACTTTAATGTATATTTTATTCAAATCATTCCTAATGCCTTAAGAGTCACATTTCCATTCCTATTTAAGTATGTATGAGTTGGGTCTTCCAAAACTGAAATTCAAGGACTTTTCTTTAATTAAGATCTCAATCCTTTGATACTTTTTCAATAGTACCTTATAAAAATTGGAATTCTTTAGTCAGTAGCTATTTCTTCATATTAAAAGAGCTGTGAAAATAATAAATTACACTAATACCCTGGCTCATGAACATTACTGTTTACAAAAGATTTGGCTCACAAACAAAAGCATTCTGCAAAATTTTGCTTCCATTCATAAACTCTTCATCAGGTGACAAACACAAACATGGCCATCTTCCCCCAATTCATAAAACAAATTAAGTTTGTAAACCAAGGTACCACTGTATTTCTGACCTAGTTCAAATTATTTAATTTTGAATGTGGGTTATTCTATAGTAGCAATGGTGAAGCTCTTAGAGCTTCCAATGACAACAAATAGCTCTCTACAGCACAACACATTCACCACCAGGGTTCTACAGCCTAAATTCACAGGGAGAAATATGTCCTCTCCTCATTATTAATAACACAAAGCTTCTTTATTCACAGATGAAGCAGATTTATACAAGTATTTCTTTCTAATACATAATATATTCTGAAATACAAATTTTAGTTACATGCTATTTTCATTAGTTTTCAGACAACAGAGAAAAATGCATAAAGAAAAAATTGGTTCACAGTCCAAATCTGAAAAGTACTATATGTCCTTCCATTTTTCTGAATTAGGAGTAATGTTCAAAATATTAATTTCTTATATAATAAATAATTTCTAAAGACTGAATTTCTGCTGACAAAAGGCTGATACAAGTAACAAACTGCCACATTCTTTATAACACTATAAACAACAAAAATCCTAACACTAAGATTTATTAAGCTATATATGAGTACATTCATTCCATTCTTCTCACAAATATTTCATTGAATATTTCTACTCTGCTATAAACTGAAGATAAAATTTAATAAACAAAACAGCCTCTAACTTCTCTGAGCTTAAAAGTTAGAGAATAAAATTATAGTAAATCTCAAATAATTTGATTCAGACTTGATCAAAATTATAGCTTACATCATATGCCATAAGTTATCAATGTGATTTAATGAAAAACTAGGTAAACCCTTTACATAAAAGTTCTAAGATTGCTGAACACTGAATTTGCCAATACTCTTTGTTTAGAAAAAGACAAAGGAGAAAATTTACCTATCATTTACTATAAAGTGCAATGTAAATCTACTATTTTTCATTTTCCTTTTCCTGTAAAACTGTTTCATACTAAGTAAAGAGATTTCGTTTGCTGTGACAGGTATCTACCAGGAACTACAAAACCACCTTACAGCTATATGTCTCTGTTTTACCAAACTACATTTGTTAAACTGTGAGTTACTGAGAATTGTATTTGTTCATCTACAAAAGATGAATATTATATTGTTGCAAGAGGTTAAATTCAATCACAAGTCTTATAACTAGCCACAATGACATTACTAATCATTTGTTTATAAAAAGTTTGTAAGAGTGGAAACACATGTAAGCCTTCATCCTTGAAAGAATTTTTAAATAAAATAGAAGATTAACTTAAAAAGCAAACAAAAACAGGAGTGAGTTTAATAGATAATTTTAAAGCAATGGAAAATTTTATTACTCTCCAACTAGGAAAAATAGATTCTTTAAAAGTTCATGATTTACTATGAATGATTTCTTTCACACAATAAATTCTGGCTGGTACAGTACATCTTTTAATTCAAAATTTTTTAATTATGGACAGAATAAAACTACACTGATTATAAAGGTTAATAAAATATCTCATTATCCTATAGTACTACTACTATCAACACAACATGACTCAAATCTTCCTAAAAACATATGTGAACTATTAGAAGCTGAACTAATTTTGAAATAGTTTACAGTTATATAAAAAGAAATTTTTGATGACCATGCCCTAAGTACCACACAAACTAAGGAAAGTAAAGCAACCTGTGAGCACCAGCAGAAAAAAATCAATGAGAACATGTAGGCAAAACACATTCTTTCATGTCCAGTAAAGACAGTCAGGGTTGGTTTGTTTTGATTTTCTAAATTTATGTAAATTTTGCAATAGTTACAGAATAGTGATTTATATTTCCTAATTTATGTAGCTCATTGCATTTATTTTTTGTTAAATAAATCACATTTTCAATAATTACTAATAAATAATGTCCATCTCCAAATGTGAAGACATTTATACCTTGACCTCCATATTGAAGTACTATAGCATCTCAAAAGATACAAATTTAAAGTTGAGCTCATTTTTTAAAAGCAAGAGCTTCAGGAATGATAACATACAATGCTATATAGGGTTAGATTTCTAAATTTCTGGGTAAAAATATGTAATTATTTATTCATATTCCTTAAAAATTTTTCATTTTTTAAATTTTTTCTCCATATTCTGTAGGTACTTGATGTTTACTATATCAATACTTGATGGAAAATACCTGTTCCATATTATGCCTAAGATGTTTGATATTCAGACAGATAGTGAAGTTAAACCCAACTGCATATGCTGTAGAGTAATAATAAGGTTCTCTTCTGGAGGGTTAACAACCTAAGTTTGCAGACTAAAAATTAGAGAAATAGAAGGGCTACAAGGACAGAAAACATTTTGGCCCTAGCCTTTCAAGGTCAGTGAAGACTCAGGACATAGAAGAACCTATACTGTAACAGCACGTAACTCAACTGTGTCCCAAATTTTCTGATCAAGGAGATTATGGGGACACAGAGCAACGTGATCGATGATGTAGAATGTGCATAAGGAAAGTCACATGGAGAGAAAACATTCTCTCAGGCTTTCACAGAGAGGAAATTGGTCAAGCAATGGCCATGACTCATCCACATGGCTGACAATGACAAAGGATCTGCAAACTGCGATACAGGGTTACAGGATAAATCCTGAGGGTACTTGACTGACCTTATCATATACAAAAGCTACATTTCTTGTTATATAGGTCTTGCTTTATCTTAGTCTTAACCATACAGCAGAAAAGTATAAAAATGAGGTATATAAAGTAAAGCCATATTAATATGCTGAGCTGTGAAAGGCTCAAGTCAACAACTTCTGTGGATAACCCACTACTATTGTGGACTGCTGGACTGTGTTGCACTGTTTTGCTGAATTCACGCACCTATACTATTTAGATGCCAATGGAATACCCATCTCTGACAGGACTGAACAAAAAAAGGGGATACAAAGGAAGGACCATTTTGTATCTGTATATGCAGAATAGTTAGGATAGATATACAGCTACTTTCGCTTCATTCAATGAGAAAAAGATTTGTACTAATAGTGTTTGGACAGGATATCCTGTCTACATCGTGTACTACAGATAACTGCTAAGAATATAACACTGTACAATGTATTAATTATTGAAACTGTCCTATTAATCAGCTTTGAAACTGTCTTATTGCTATTTCTTTCTCAATAAAATAAAATAAAATAAAAAATAAAAAGGAATGATAAGAGTGGCAAAATTGGTTCAATCAACCTAGAGAGATGCTGTAGCAGGTGGCCATAATTCAGCAGTGGATCTTATATACTATTCTGACCAAGGTCTAGGAGCTCAAGCCAGCCCCCATACATATTCAGGTTAGAGTGCATAATGTTGACTTCTACTATGCTTTGGTTCATTTTGTTTTATAGTATTAGGAATTAAAGCCAGGGCCTTTGCACAGGCTATATCCTAAGCTATTTATTTGTTTGTTTGTTTTGTTTGTTTGTACTGGGAATTGAACTCAGGACATTATACTTGCCAGGCAGGCACTTATGCCACTGAGCTATATCCCTAGCCCCCCAATCCTTTTTTAAAAAAATTATTTTGACAACTGATTTTTTTAAGTCACTAAATTGTCACTAAGAAGCTCAAACTTGTAAACTCCTGCTTCAGTCTCCGTAAGTGTTGACATTACAAGCATGGATTGACACAACTGGCTCCACTATGAGCTTAATTTTGAAAAAGCAGCATTTATATAGAAGTTCTAAATGCTATCTTCTGAGTCAGAAGAGGTAGTCTCCCCAGGAATTGGGTGTCTTACTTTGCCACATTTCGTCTGCTCTCTTACTTTATTTCACCAGGCTGGCCCTTGGCAGGTCTTTTGCATTTCTGACCCTTGCTGCAGAAGAGATTACATGTTGATAATATACCTTACCAATGCCAAGAGTCTCTGTGAAGAAGGACTCTTACAATCAGGTGGCAATCAGGAGGCAATTGACACCACTGATGATGTTCTTTGGCAGCAGAAATTCTAGAAGGTAGTTAGCCACTGTACTAAAATCCATTTCTACCTAAAAAATATTTCTAAATGGGTATTTTAAAGCAATGACTCTCATTATTGGAGTATTACAATTGAGCCACCTAAGGAGAACAAAACAGATGTAGGAACTTCTGTAAATGCCTAAAAATCAAGAATTTCCTTCTTTCTTTTCTTTTGGGGATAGCATAGTCCAGGCTGGCCTCCAACTCTTAGTGATCTTCTTGCCTCAGCCCCCTGAGTGCTGAGGTTATAGGTGTGCACAAGCACACTTGGCTTTTTAAAAATCAAGAATTTCTATGCAGACCTATTTGACTGTGATTTATTCCCTACCAACTGTTTCACTTTTAATAGAACTAGTACTGAATGAAGAAAAGTAGCAAATGCTATTGATCAGTATCAAAAGATAACACATAACAAAATAATTAAATCACAAGGTCCAGTAATTAACACCACAATCTATATTTTAGATAACCCTGCCATCATATACTTACATTTTAACGTTTCTCCAGCATACGGTATGTGCAGTTTGAATCGGTCACAGTTAGGTCCAGGAGTCAGTGAAGTACAGCTTTATGAAAAGCAGAAAGAGAAGATATTTTAAAATTTTTAAAGGTCTATATATTTATAATATTTAGTAAAGTAAATAAAAATTGATCCATAAAGGTAAAATAAAATACTGAGTTACAGAACAAAAAAGTAAAGCAAACAAGCCTTTATGATCATGGAGGAAAAGATAGCAAGCCTTGCTCTAAAATCAATCATCCATTTATTTCACAACACAACTTAGATCTTCTAACAACACACACCATCAGTGCTTCCAATACTACTCTCAAAGAAGTGCATCTCAACTTTCAAAACTAGGTATATTATCCAAAAAAGGTCTCTAGTCTTTGATGCCAAGAATTCTAAGAGAAAAGTAATTTTATGGTCATATTTTAAACACAGACTTTTAGCTTTCACTGTTAGAACAAAAAAGCACCCACTTTTGGCCTTTATCTGGTACCAGATGGTTTTCTTTCTTTCCACAAAGGTACACGCTTCCTCTAGATTTGGCACACTATAACTTTCATCTGCAGGAGAGCATGATGCATTGCACTCGATTTCAGATAAAATGCAAATTTTACAGGGTGGGATTCAGTTAGTCATCCAGGTCTCAAAATTTTTTAAATCTATTACTTTCACAAAGTTCTTCTGCTTTACACATATTTGCTCTACAAGATATGGCATGATCTTACAAGTCAGAATTTCAACGACATAACAGCACTATTAGCCTTATATTTTAATAAAATACTAACAGCAAATCAACTGAGGAAGTTAGATGTCTTCATTTCACTTTTTAAAGTAAGATAATTGCCTGGAAAACACAAGGTCCTGAGTTCAATCCCCAGTACCACAAAAAAAAAAGTAAGATAATTTATAGAGTAAAGCAAGAAGATTGATTTTCTTTCATAACTCCAAAACTAAACCTAAAGCAATTCTAAACATTGAATTTATAAAAGCAGTTTAACAGATGGAGAAGTTAGAATAAATGTGCGATTCCTTAGATGACCACTTTGAAGGGTAAAGGTCACCTGAAAATAAATTCAAGAAATGTTGGCTTCAGGCCGGGGAGATAGCTCAGTAGAATAAGCACTTGCCTGGCAAGCGCAAGGGCCTGAGTTCAATACCCAGTTCTGGAAAAAAAAAAGAAAGAAATGTTGACTTCAAAGAAAGTAGCTCTGTCCTCATATCAGATTTACTATTACTTCTTCCCTAAACTATTTGATTGTAAGAGAGAGGAAAAAACTTTACTTAGATGTACTTAACATAAATCACTAGATTAATTATTCCTCTTTATTGTCTGGAATTTTTAAAAGAAACCAGTCTCAAAGTAAACAAGAGAAATGCAAATTAGAACAGTGAAATACCATCTTATTCCAGAAAGAATGCCTACTGTCAAAAATCTCATAGCAAAGGCTAGCAAGGCTGCAGGAGAAAAAAGGAACCATTCCACATTGTTAATAGGAATGTAAACTAGTGTAAAACCACTATGGAGATAAGTATGGTGATTCCTCTAAAAGCTAAAAATAAAAATTCCATTTGACCCTGTTATCCCCTTCTAGGAACCTACACAAAAGAGTTAAAGTCATTCTTATTACAGTGATGTATGCATATCCATGTTTATAGCAGCACAATTTATAATACCTAAATCTTGGAAAAAGCCTACAAATATATACATCAACAGACTAATGATAAAGAAAATGTAGTACTTAAACACAATGAAGGACTAGTTTGCCATAAAGAAGGATAAATTTGAGGCATTTGTAGATAAATAGATGAATCTTGACACCATAATGTTAAGTAAAATAAATCAAACTCACAAGTTTAAATGTCACATGATTTCTCTCATATAAGAAATCCAAAACATAAAGAGCAAAATAAAGGTTAGATAATGGGAAATAGGCAGATCTTATTCAAATGGGAAAGAGAACAGGAGGTACAGTGAAAGAGAGGAGGGAAGCAAAGTTGGGATTTTTTTAAAAAAAAAGAGAGAATCGAAGAAAAATAGAAATAAAACTTAATCAAAAGGGAAGGAGATGAAGAGCTGGACAGAGAAGGGAGGATCAGGAAGGGAAGAGGACAAAATAGAATTATAATGTATCATGCATATGTACAAACTTCCCACAATAAGTATAATCATTATATATTGCACCACATACTAATCAAAAAATAAAAATTAAAACAAAAAGATGGGGCTGAGACCAAAAAAATAACACAGTTACACTAGCAATTGAACAGTAACTTATATTTTCACAGATTTTAAGAACATACTTCCTTTCAATATAAAATAACCTTAAACTGGGCATGGTGGTACACACCTGTAATCCCAGCACTTGGGAGGCTGAGGCAGGAGGACTACCATGAGCTTGAGGTCGAAGTGGGCTACATAATGAGTTCAAGGCTAGCTTAAAATACATTAGCAAGACCCTGTCTCAAAAAAACAAACAAGCAAATAAATAAATAAATGCCAACAAGCCTTCAGGGCACAATTTATAAAAGGTACCAAAGTACTTCCCTTCTCTAAGCTAGGTATCTGTTACTCAAAATCCTGAAGATCAGAAGTGTTTCAGATTTCAGGTTTTTCATACTTTGGAATAATTGTACATACATAATAAGATCTCTTAGGATGGGACCAAAATCTAAACATAAAATACATTTATGTTTCACAAATAGCTTCTACATCATAGACTGAAAGTAACTTTATAATTATAAATTATAATTTCATGCTTAGTGTGCCTACGTCTTGACTTCAATCCTGAACATGAGGTTAGAAGTGGAATTTTCCATTTGTAACATCAGATGGCAATCAAAGCTTTGCACACAATGAAGCATTTTGGATCTTGAGTTTTCAGATTAGGGATGGTCAATCCACAGTATATTTTCTAGCCTACAATTAGTTACTTGAAGAATTAGAGAAAGCACATAAATTCTAGCATTATAAAATATAAAAGATAATCTAGTGATAGTAAAAAGTGCCCTGAAGGCTTGTTGACATTTATTTATTTATTTATTTATTTACATGTTTGTTTTTTTGAGACAGGGTCTTGCTAATATATTTTAGGCTAGCCTTGAACTCATTATGTAGCCCACTTTGGTCTCAAACTCATGGTAGTCCTCCTCTAGTGACAGACAAATACAGAAAAATGGTTTAGAATTACTAAGAATATCCAACCTGCAATGCTTTGAAATGATGAAAAACATTCACAACCCAGAGTTTTCAAAGCTAGAGGATCAAATTATCTATACAGCAAAAATGGAAACTAATAGTATAGGAAATCCTCAAGATTTAATGTGAAATTGTTTTATTTCTAAACTAATGAGCTACACTTCATATCATGTACTTTACATTTTATGAAGACTAGAAAGGTTTTTTTGTGTCCCACTACTTTCCTTTTCCCCTTACCATATCAATAGCAGTTTCTAGCAACTTTAGGCTATTATAAAGTACATTTCTTCACCTGAGTGATTCACTTGCTGTTGAAGGGGGGGGGGGTTCATTTGGGTAAGGTTTATTGTGCACTGTTCTAGGTATTAGGAATACAGTGGACAAGACACAAGATCTATGGCTCATATGGTATTTCAATTCTAATGAGGGAAAAGAAATGATAAAAGAGACAAATATAGAAAAATGGTTTAAGATTACTAAATGTTATGAAGAAGAGGGTATGACAATAACACAGGAGCTACTTTATATTGGAAAATCAAGGAAGACCTCTAGAGAAGGTTAAATTCTAACCTTAAATAATATGAGGCGATCAATCATTCAAAGTTCTAGCAAACAGTATTCCAAAGGACAGAGCAGATGCAAAGACATAAGAGCAGAAACAAGCCTGCTATATCTGGGGAAGAAATCTTTACATTCCTGGCAATGCAGCTGGGACAAGTGAATGAGGGAGGAGCGATGGATGGGACAAAGGGTAAGCAAACACGGAGCTTATGCACTCTTGCAAGTGGTGGCATTTAATTCAGCTTTCACGCCAAGCACAAAGAAGTGTTTTAAGCAAAAGAGTAACAAATAACTATGTTTTTTAAAAATCACTGTGTCTATAATATTGCAAAAGAGATGATAAGAAATAAAAAGATTAGAGCTTCTTTACACTGTGATATTACAAAATTTCTCATTCCCTTTTCACACGTGCATTTGTGTGTGATGCTGAGCACGAAACACAGGACCTCACAATCCTAACCAAGCGCTGTCCCACTGAACTACATCAACTCCACCAGAGTTTCACATTCCTAACATTCATTATTTCTCAGTTTTTTGGGTCAAAATTTAGAAAATGGTTTGGCCTATTGTTTCTAGATTGCTGCCCATGGAACTGCAGTCAGAAATCATTAACAGATGACTAACAGAAAAGGGAAATCTATTCATCTAGAAAATCATTTCCTTTAAACAAGTGTGAAATAGCTACAGAGAAAAAACTACTGGCTTTATATTTTAAATTTAAATTTGTATAAAGGCAACTTGTCTTCACACAGTTACTTCCAAGGTTCAAAAAGCCAATATTCAAAACTGAGTAACTTTTAGTAAAATAATATTGTTAACAGTTAAAACATAACTTCAAATTTGTCCCTTGACTATAGCTCATCAGTGCTAACTAACATGTTTCAGTCACTGTGCCAAGAGGTAGAAATACAATCCTGGTGTGGTGGCACACACCCGTAATCCCAGTGGTCTGGGAGGCAGAAGCAGGAGGGTCATAACTTCACAACTTAATGAGACCCTATCTCAAAATAAAAGGAAAAATGGGCTGAGGATACAGCTCAGTAGAAAGGCCCTAGGTTCAATCCCCAGTGAAGGGAGGGGAGGGGAGGGAAAAAGTAGGGAGGAGAGGGAAAGGAAGGGGAGAAAAAGGAGAGGAGGGGAGGGGAAAGGAAGGGAAGGGAAAGAAGATGGGAAGGGAGGGGAGGAAAAAGGAAGAGGGAGAGAGGGAGGGGGAAAGAAGGGAGAGAAGCAAGCAAGCAGCAAGGACAAGAACAAAAAACTTAGAGCCAGCCAGATAGCTCAGCAGATTAAAGAGCCTGCTT